ATAGAGAAGAGTTTTATTTTAAGTTTGGGCGAGTGTAATATATAAGGCTATATTACATTGCCAGAAGATTATTGAGTTCGTGTGTGTGGTTGGCTGCACTGCTGAGTGACGTCACCCACTAGGAACGATGGCACGAAGCGGAGTGGAACGGCAGTCGGAGTTAACATGCTATGTAGTAAGTTGTCCCTAGTATCGGGTTCTTTTAACTTATTAATTTAGAAATACAGTTATTACAAGTATTTTAAATTTTCTTTCTACTTTATTATTCCGGTTTCGAACTATGTTTTAATGTTTTTCTTAAATATCCTTTATAGCTTTAATAAAATTATACGTTTATTTTCATTAGTAAATATTGCTTAATGTGTCTAATAATTGTTATTAAAATTAAACATATTCATATTTAAAATTTTTATTCATATTTGAATTTCTTATTCATGATTTTTTACACTTATTAAAAACCAAAGGACAATTGTTGTAAAATTTTAAATAATTTAGGACCCACGTTAAACTTTGACTCTTAATTTCTCATCTACGTCGCTTAGTTCCCTTATGTATCAAGACATCCAATTAAAAGTAAAGAAAATGATATATTCTCAGCATAGTGGATAGGTACCGTTATTGTTACAGGTTACTGAAAAATAACTAATAAGCAACATGAAGCCAAGTGATTAACATTATTTGTAAAAGCAAGACAAGTTTTGAAAATTAAATAAAAAATGAAAAGATACTTTGAATCATTGTACACTAGAGGTTGTCCAGTTGTCGAAAACTCGATCAAAAAAACGTAGGCCTACAGTTGGATTTTTTATCTAGAATCGGTTGAGGTATGTTGAAATATCTTTGAGGATGAACCTTTTTGGCTGAAAGTGAGTGTGATTGTGTGTTCAATGTTCACATGTCAATTTTTGAGGTTAAATCAAAACAAACAAACTGGCATGTTGTCAATTAGGGACAATTTCGTATTACTTACGAAAGAATATTCATTTAAGATCAAATAAATTAATTTAGTATATGTCATTGTCTGATTTATTTAAAAACATTCAGTATTTTGGCTACTGCATTTTATAACCCAAACTCGAATCTTGCTTTAATTCATCCCAAATTCAACTAAATTTGTATGTAAAGAACATTAATTCTCAGCCTAACGGATTAGTACCGTTATTATTGCAGGACTTTGGGGCAATTAGACTATTAAAATTACCCTGTTCAATTGTAAATATGTAAATACAATCTAAATTCTTTGTCAAGAATATACCATAACAACAGTTACAGGTAAATATTACATATCTTATTTTCCCTTAATTAATTATTATAGTAGGAATTTTGCAGACATTGCCATAGCCAATTATTACAAACAAAGTAAATGGTAAATGTCTCCAAAATGCATCAAGTCTTTTAAAAACCATAGTTGATAATTAATTGGTTCCTGCAGATCAAAAACCAATAAACTTAGCATTGATCATATAAGAAGTATTTAGAGATTGTGATCAAATATTTTCGTTCATAATAAAATGCATTGTTGTATATCATCCAACGTTTTCCACATATTTGACTGCGAATTCGGCAGTGGTTAGCGGATGATTGTTGTAGGTTGGCCGCGGTGCCGAGCCGCCACGGCACTACGCGCTGCGCACACTGGTGCATTCAAACTCTTATTATTGGCGTGGTTGTTGGCTTAATATCACAAAAGTCATATGTATATTGTTTGAAATTTAAAGCTCTACAGATTACTATTCATATTCTTCATGATTCTTCATATTGCTACACCCACTACTCTTCACAGAGTTGCTAATGGAGACATGCACGTTCAAATCGCAGGAAAACCTCTAATGGTGAGGGATACCGTCAAGACCTTGGGTGTGGTACTTGACAGTGGCCTCACTTTCTCGGACCACATCACTTATGTTTCCCAGGTGGCTTTGGGAAGGCTGCGTGGTCTGTACCGGTACAAAAACATCCTGCCAGAGACAGCCAAGCTGCAGCTGGTACAGTCACTAGTGTTGTCAGTGCTCCATTACTGTTTTCCTGCATACGGCAACAGCATCTCAAGGGAAGAGATGTCCCAATTGCAAAAAGTGCAGAACTCCGCCATTCGTTTCGTTTACGGTATCCGTAAGCGTGAACGCGTATCCCCTTTTCGGGATGCTGCGGGGTTGCTCTCAATGGGTGCCGTGTGCAGGGCGCAGACTTGTAGCCTCATCCACCGGGTCTTGGTTCAGCAAGAGCCTAAGTACTTGGTGGAGAGGCTTGTGGCACGTGGGGAGGTGACTCAACGTGTGACCCGGCAGAACGCCTTGCTCCACATTCCAAAAGTAAGACTAGAAGTGGGTAGAAAAGGGTTTTCTTACTTTGGCCCAAAGATATATAATGATCTCCCCTTGGACCTAAAACAGCTGGGGGTCCTGGCTTTCAAAAGAAAAGTAAAGAAGATGTAAAGTATTGTATATAGCTTATAATTTTGTTTTGTTTTGTTTTGTCATACACATTGTTTTTGTATCATAATTTTTGTATATTTTTAAGTTAGTTATATTGACATGAGTTACTTTGTAAAACAGTTCTTGTACTGAAAGACGCTCGCAAATAAAGGCATTTTTATTTATTTATTTATTTTATTACTAACTGGGTGGTATATACCTAATTTATGTATTAACGGCGTAAAATCAGAAAAATAATGAACTAGACACATTTGAAATTACAAAAATCGTATTTAAGCTACAATTATTATATATTAAAACTATGAAATACCAATAAATGTGTTATTTTCTTGAATTAAACTTTCTGTAGAGTAGTTTGAGCTTCATACGACTATTATAAGTCGAATAAATCTGTAGTTATAACATTTTCCGTAAAACCTTGCAAGTTTGATTTGTTTCGCCGCCATTTTCCAAGATGGCGGATTTTGCTGAAGTGGGATTTTTTGGGAATTCTCAGGAAATGTTAAGGAGTGTGTTCCAAACACATTCCAGAAGAGTTTACCTTTGAACTAATTTGTTCTAGGTTAATCGCTATCTGTCCTGTACTATAAATTAAAACTGAATCAATTAAATGCCGTTGATTTGAATTATTAAAAAATAATAGTGGATCCAAGACATAGTTGACGACCATTATTTTGTGTGTGTGACGTTTCATACTATGCAATTGTTAGCGTAGGTATTGTGTAAATCCTTAGTTACAATACCAAATACTTGTTCGCCTTCAGTTCGATATTCTCAAACCTAGCAGCAAAGCTAGGTGGTTGCAGTCGCTGTTTTGCAGGCGTCCCATGTAATATTCTCATGTAATATTCTCAGGAAATTAATATTTAAACATTAATACTACTTTTTCAACACGAAACCCGACTTAATAAAGGCGTGTTGCAAACAGAATGCTAATGAACTCCTCCAGGTTTAAGAACTAAAACAATCCTAAGAAATTAAAAGTCTCTAATTAGATTAGTCCCAAAAGGAAACAGTTCAAGAAATGTTTAACTTGGATTAAATCCAAGGTACAAGTCTTTGTCCTTTTCATTACTTGCCAAAAGTCCAGGTTGAAGTTTTCTTAGTGTATTATAAATATCCTACATTTCCATAAATCCTCATTTGGTATGTAGGCTTGCTATTCATTTTTATTGTAGATTTTTAAATTTTTTAAATGTAAAGTTTCTGTCATATTTATTTTTGCCATTATCTATTCCTTTTGAAAACATATTGATTATATCATTGTTATTAGCAAGTTTTGTGTTAGCTCCATAGTTTTCAGTTACCATGTAGGTAAGACTATCCCAACAAAACACAAAGATACAAGGAATAACAATACTCAAGTAATTAAGTTATTCAAAATGTTAACTCTGTTTAAGAGGTAAAGCGTGATTTTTGTGACAATAAATATCCTATCCCCAACCATTTACTTTATAATTTCGGATATGAGATTTTGCTTGTGAAGATCGGTGGTCTCAAAAGCATAACACTGTATATTTCATAAGTAATGACAATAATAATACGTCGCCAAAAATGTTTAATTATCAAAAAATTGCTTTTGGTTTCCAAATTAGACCTAAAACAGTCTACCTATGATAGTGTAATCTTTTTTGAGAGTTAATTAGATTTTTAATTTGCCATCCTAAATCAAATATAAATTTAAAGTATTTATATTTTTTACAAAAAAGTTATGCCCTGTCTAATATATTGATACCAACTAACCTAAACCATATAGAATAAGTGTAATGTTTAACTATGTTGGTTATTTCGTTTGATTAATTTTATTTAAAGATTCACTACATCTATTTGTCAATTTCGTGTTCCTTTGGTTGATGTGTATCACGATTAAGCGAATTTGCGTGTTGTATGGATTTTAATCTCATACACAACACTTTCTAAGTTCAGCGAGTAACATGGGGTGTTACACTTGATGTGCGCTGTTTCTGATTGTGTTGAAAGCTTCAAGAGTTGAGGCCCATTTACAAGATTGGAAATGTGACCTGAGATTTCTCTTGTCATCTTCCCAAAGGCAGAGAGATTACAAAGCAACAAACCATAAGGTAGAATAAGAGAAGCGGTATTTTTAGTACAAAAATATATATACTTTCATACAATCATGTGATGAGGTCATGGACAACTCCTGCATTGACTTATCCTGGGGAAATACAACCGCATACAGTGAGATATTGATGTGTTAGGAAGTTGAATACGCTAAAAGGAAAATCGGTTAAAATTCTTATCCAATAAGCTCTGTCTTGGCACATTAACCATTTATTTGTTTAAAGTTCATTTTTATAGTAGTAGCTTTGTAGTGTTTGAAGAATTGATGTTTACAATTGATATTGTACCTCGCCTGCAAACGGGGTCAGATTCTATTCCGAAACACCCTAGAAACTTAGTAATCGAGGTGAAAAATGTAGGTAATAAATAATACAGATAACTTTCATTCGCCTTCCTACAACAATATGTTCTTAGTAACGCTTTTTAACATTGTTTAAGACGTGGCACAACCCAGCCATCTGACGCTACATTGCCCTGTTTCAGGCAAGGCAGTCCCGTTCATAGAGCTGACGGTTGCCCACGCCAGTGTCCTCACCATCCTAGCCATCAGTTTCGAGCGCTACTCCGCTATCTGACGTTACATTGCCCTGTTTCAGGCAAGGCAGTCCCGTTCATAGAGCTGACGGTTGCCCACGCCAGTGTCCTCACCATCCTAGCCATCAGATTCGAGCGCTACTACGCCATCTGACGTTACATTGCCCTGTTTCAGGCAAAGCAGTCCCGTTCATTGAGCTGACGGTTGCCCACGCCAGTGTCCTCACCATCCTAGCCATCAGTTTTGAGCGCTACTACGCTATCTGACGTTACATTGCCCTGTTTCAGGCAAGGCAGTCCCGTTCATAGAGCTGATGGTTGCCCACGCCAGTGTCCTCACCATCCTAGCCATCAGATTCGAGCGCTACTACGCCATCTGACGCTACATTGCCCTGTTTCAGGCAAGGCAGTCCCGTTCATTGAGCTGACGGTTGCCCACGCCATTGTCCTCACCATCCTAGCCATCAGATTCGAGCGCTACTACGCCATCTGACGTTACATTGCCCTGTTTCAGGCAAGGCAGTCCCGTTCATAGAGCTGACGGTTGCCCACGCCAGTGTCCTCACCATCCTAGCCATCAGATTCGAGCGCTACTACGCCATCTGACGCTACATTGCCCTGTTTCAGGCAAAGCAGTTCCGTTCATTGAGCTGACGGTTGCCTACGCCAGCGTCCTCACCATCCTAGCCATCAGATTCGAGCGCTACTACGCCATCTGACGCTACATTGCCCTGTTTCAGGCAAAGCAGTCCCGTTCATAGAGCTGACGGTTGCCCACGCCAGTGTCCTCACCATCCTAGCCATCAGTTTCGAGCGCTACTACGCTATCTGACGTTACATTGCCCTGTTTCAGGCAAGGCAGTCCCGTTCATAGAGCTGACGGTTGCCCACGCCAGTGTCCTCACCATCCTAGCCATCAGATTCGAGCGCTACTACGCCATCTGACGTTACATTGCCCTGTTTCAGGCAAGGCAGTCCCGTTCATTGAGCTGACGGTTGCCCACGCCATTGTCCTCACCATCCTAGCCATCAGATTCGAGCGCTACTACGCCATCTGACGTTACATTGCCCTGTTTCAGGCAAAGCAGTCCCGTTCATAGAGCTGACGGTTGCTCACGCCCGTGTCCTCACCATCCTAGCCATCAGATTCGAGCGCTACTACGCCATCTGACGTTACATTGCCCTGTTTCAGGCAAGGCAGTCCCGTTCATTGAGCTGACGGTTGCCTACGCCATTGTCCTCACCATCCTAGCCATCAGATTCGAGCGCTACTACGCCATCTGACGCTACATTGCCCTGTTTCAGGCAAGGCAGTCCCGTTCATTGAGCTGACGGTTGCCCACGCCAGTGTCCTCACCATCCTAGCCATCAGTTTCGAACGCTACTACGCCATCTGACGCTACATTGCCCTGTTTCAGGCAAGGCAGTCCCGTTCATAGAGCTGATGGTTGCCCACGCCAGTGTCCTCACCATCCTAGCCATCAGTTTCGAACGCTACTACGCCATCTGACGCTACATTGCCCTGTTTCAGGCAAGGCAGTCCCGTTCATTGAGCTGACGGTTGCCCACGCCAGTGTCCTCACCATCCTAGCCATCAGTTTCGAACGCTACTACGCCATCTGACGCTACATTGCCCTGTTTCAGGCAAGGCAGTCCCGTTCATAGAGCTGATGGTTGCCCACGCCAGTGTCCTCACCATCCTAGCCATCAGTTTTGAACGCTACTACGCCATCTGACGCTACATTGCCCTGTTTCAGGCAAGGCAGTCCCGTTCATAGAGCTGACGGTTGCCCACGCCAGTGTCCTCACCATCCTAGCCATCAGTTTCGAACGCTACTACGCCATCTGACGCTACATTGCCCTGTTTCAGGCAAGGCAGTCCCGTTCATAGAGCTGACGGTTGCCCACGCCAGTGTCCTCACCATCCTTGCCATCAGTTTCGAGCGCTACTACGCTATCTGTGAGCCTCTCAAAGCTGGCTATGTCTGTACCAAGACCCGTGCCATGATCATATGTCTACTCGCTTGGGCTCTCGCTGCGCTCTTTACCAGGTATTCCTCAAGTTGTTTGTTACACACACATCTCCTCACTCTCTTCGCTTTCACGTTGCTGTCTTGTGCTTTTCATTCCCTTCCTTTCCTTACTGTCTGTTCTATCTTGTTAAAAATATATTCGTTTTATATTTATAAATAGTCCTTTCAATTGGTTTTTTGAAAATCATGAAAAGCTGAAGAACGATTTAATTGGTGCAGCTTTTAAAATAAGTCTATAAATTTAGAGTTACCGCAACAAGTTACGCTTGTTTCCACTTGACAGCTTGTTTATATGTGCTTGTTTATATATGACGATGAAGATATTTATTTTATTCATAAAAAATTTTACTTTAAAATAATTAGCTTTGTTCATGGTTTTAGCACAATTATAATTAGAGATACACCCTGTCAAACTATTTAACTTCCGGGTAGCTTGTTCTTGTAAAATGAGACTGCTGAGTTGGAATCTACACCTAGAACTTATTTTTCTACTGGGTTTTTGTATGTCGTATAAGGTCATGGACATTAAACCATTAAAGCTTAAACGTTCAATGATAATAATAATGTATTTATCTTTTAACTTTCACTTGATCTACCTCATCGCGCGGTACTATTGATTCAAATAGCTTTGATTATGCTAACCAAAAACCATTATAAATGTTACTCTCATCAGCTTTTTAACAATACAAACTTTAAACCCCAAAAGTCCATATTAAGCTTATGATTGTATCTGCATGATCCTTCAAAGAGTACCTATGACTATTCCTTATTCGTAATTTATTTGTTGTTTGAAACCAAATTCAATGGATGCTCAGATAACTCCTTTGATTATGTATATTTCTTCCTGAAATAATACTGTATCATTTAGAAACTAATCCCAGTGAAATCTGGTATGTGTGGTTTAAAGAAAGGTTTTTAGAATCTACCAAAAACTACTTCATTATACTATTGATATCAGCCCAATAGTATTATAAATGGTAAGATATATTAAATGAACTAATCAGTTATTGCATTTATTATGATATCATGAGGTGGATAGTTTAACTGCACAGTACTCTGTTTTACAAAATTAGGGCCCCAAAATAATCATAATTTTCAGTTTAATTTAGATTCAGATTCAAAGAAATATATTAAGTTAGGTTTAGATTATAGTGATTATAGAAAGAGATAACAAAAGTATACAACATTTAAGCTATGTAATTAAAAACAGTTTAAATGTACTTTGAAACCATAAGAAATCTCTTTACAAATCACACAAATGACTACTTTACAAACAGTCGAGTTGTATGATTAACTGGGAATCTTATTGTAGAGTAAGGTTATACAGTATAGTCGTTATTTAGTTGCTTTTGGACTTCAATGCAAACTTAACATCATCATGCAATAACGGCTGAACATATTACAGCCAAACTTAAAAAGATTGTTCCAAAACCCCGTTTATTATAATCAAAATTTGTGGGAAAACAGATTTGAATTTGGTGATACCTATACAATTTAAGATTGATTTAAAATTTTAAACTTTTAACATTAGGCTTATGGATTGCCACGTTGGTCAGGAAAAAATAACGTAAACGTGAAATCATAGCACATGTTTTATAAAGTAGCTAATATACGTACTAAATACTGTATGAAACCAATATAGGCTACTACCTAAATCCAGTATAAAGGCAATACACATTCACTTGACCATTGGTCAAAGAATACACAAAAGTTATTACAGGCCATTTGAACACTTCCAAGGTCCAAATGGTCAAATCAAATAGGTACAGTAGATTAGCTTTATGTAATCTAAAATATAAATAAAATAAATAATTAAAATCAGTGATTGTTAACTTAATAGCAAAATACAATGTAAATGCTTATCCTAAGCTATAAATATGTCACATGTAATACTCTCTACTGTAATACTCTACATGTATCACTATAAATATGTACATGTAAAGGTATGTACCTCATATTAGTTTGATAAATATGTCATTAAAACACGTTATTAACATTAACGAAAATGCTCACTGATTTTGAAGTACGATTCATTTTGGAGATGTTTGAGTGCGCTGATCGGCTAAATGTTGTATCAACATAAATTGATCGAATGTAAATAAGAACTAAAACAAACTATTTAAATCAGCTATTATTGAGTTAAAATAGCTGATTTAAATAGTTTGCTTTTATACAAATGCCGTGTTATTATTCACTTAATCAACGCAAGCTATATCCTCGTACTATTGTAGAATCTGAATCCTGTTTTGATACGTGTTTATTGTGGACACGGTTGGTAAATATGTTTAATATCATACACATTTGTGTAATATGTTTCCTATAAAAAAATACATAAATCTAATTTAAATGGGTGTTAAAAAAGAACTATTTAAATCAGTTTTTTTTATAATTAGCATATTGTCAAATCAATGCTTATCCAAAAATCACGGGCTTTTACAAACGAAAATTAAAAACGTATAAGTTAGCTTCTTATTATATTGTAAAATTGGAAGCCTAGGTTTGATAAATGCTTTGTATTGTTCTGCGATCCAAACAAACTACCAGAATGTTTAGCTGCTGATCCATAAGGATCATATGTTCACATTCTACAGTATAAGTAAGAAGTTTGTTCCAACAGTAAGATTAATGCATTGATTTAAATAGTGAACGATTTGTTAAAGAAGGAGAATCACACTCCTGAATTGCATTCACTAGTATCATTGACTTTATTCAAAAACAATTCCTTTGTATGAAATATAATTTTATCTTATATAAACCTAATTATTATTGATATCAAATGTTAGTTAGACATTAGGCATATGAGTTGCCGTGTTGGTTTCAGAAACCCACAAAAAAATTAAACAGCTGCTTAAGGCTTAAAAAACAGATTTCGGATCAAATATTTAAGGTAGTTTGGATCAACGATCACGTATGACCAATGTGTTTATTGGTTTTTACACACATTTTACACAATAATGCTGAGATATACTTTTACGCTATGACTGTATGCACCTTGTGAGTATTAAACTATGCAATTCATCAGTTTTAGTAAAAACTATTCACTTTGAAAATAGGTGAGAAGATGTTATTGATGGAAAGTATCCATATCATGAGGCCAAGAATAATGTTGATAATGGAACAATATTTCAATTAACCTGATTATGTGATCGTTGGTTTGGATGAAAACTGTTGAACAATAATTGCTCCTAGAGCACACTAATGATTTTCCCATGTAAATCTGTTTCCCCGTATACTTTATTGTATCCTGTTGTAATACGAGCAATGTCTTAAAGTATGCAATGTGGCCTACAGCTTCAACTCGGATGGACTTTGTTGAATGTTTAGGTATGAGGGTAGAGAATGGATGGGTGAAATCCACTATCTGAGAATAACTCGTACTTTCCAATAACCACTTGAAAAATAGAAAAGTCTAATAAGATTTAAGTAAGGAAAATTAAAAGAAAAAACTAAAACCACATAATAGTAACGTTACGTTAACGTCACTCCGCTCAAATGGCTTACACTGATCTGAAAGCAATCCTATAGTTAGGTATTTCCCAATACACATTCCAAGGGTCTCTAGTATATCTACTGACACAACTATGCCCAGTGTGCTAACAGGGAGTAGAGCAAGCTATTTCACTATCATACTAAAAAAGTTGAAAAAATATATGTCAACTCCCCACGAGAAAATGTTTTAATTTATTTGGTATCGTTTTGGAAAATACAGATACCCTTGGTCCTAAAACTGAAATGAATAATTAAATTTTGGAAAATCAAAGCCCTCGCCATGTTACAATATTGTATTAGTTTATCTTTGGTAATTAATTTAGTTATCTGTATTTTTCGTTGCTTAGCAACCATAACTAGTAATGTTACATTTTCTTTGTTGGATATTTCTACTGTTTATACTTTTATCGGACGATTGTTTATACTCAAATTTAAAAATTTATATCATGGTAAACATATCATTTCCATCTCGGGTAAAAGATTGTTGTATGCTTTCGATAATTACATGTTCTTAAATAAACTCACACTCACTTGTATCAGTAATAATGGTAATGGTAATCACTTTCAAGCTTTGGTACAAAGTATACTATCAAATTATTGTTAGTGACTCACATTTATCCTTCTTTAATATTCACGAAATCTTTAACTAACAGCATTTTGAAAGAACTACAGCGGCCGACGCATAATATGAAAGTTCTGTTAATTAGTCTGGCGAACTTTTTACCTTATGAATGATTACTTATGATCGATCATATTAAGATAAATAGAATACACTGAATAATTTATTTGAATTGTACGATGTTAAATCAAAATTCATTTTTATCAAGTTAACTTTAACCATCAAGTTATTAATTATTAAGTTAACATTATCTTTATCAAGCTAACTATGTCATAAACCTTCCGTACTGAAATCTACCAAATATGATTTCTCTCTTTCAATACATTATATTGTTATCTTGGAAAAACGTTCAAGCGAAATGATTATAATGTTTTTATAACTGTAGTTACTTTCTACCTATTTGTGTACCTAAATAGCAATGCATTTTTAAATAATGTAGCTGAACAACACAAAGTTTCCGTTCATGTTATACAATGTGCTACGCTTTGTTGTAGCGTTTTCTGTTGATGTTGAAGGTAGATGTAATAAGTAAAGTTCAGAAACACTTTATAAGTATCATAGACACAAAGCTGTTAATTGTTTTGAGATCAGAATAGATTTTAGCTGTGCTTAGGGCTCCAAGGTTGATGTATTCAACCTAATTACATTACAACCTTAGGTTATTTTAACCAATTCTGGTTCTATATTTAATTACTTGAACCAATTACTCTTTGTTAGTTAATTTGTAATTATTATACTGATATATTTCTGAACATAAAGCCAATGTCCTGTTAAATTTTCCTTCTGTGGTTTCTGATAATGTTTAAAAGCTTAGATCTCGTTAATCTTAATCATGTAGCTTTGTTTAATCTTTTATAAAATAATCTTAGAAAACAATTTTACTGTCATCTTTCACGTTGGAAGCAAATATCACAGAATATTTAATATGATGCTTTTAAATTATATGTATAAAATAATATTCTTAGAAGGAGTTTTGTGATTAAAGTTGTTTGTTCCAAACTACTCGTATTACTTTTTCAATCTAATTAACAATCTCTAATATTACTTCTATCGAGCTTTAGCTTAATCAAAGAAATATTTCATGAAACCAATTAAAGGAACTTCTTCGTTATTGAAGTAATTAAACATAAATCGTCAACTTTGTCTTCTCCGATCCTTTGTCCTTCTCTTCGCTGTGCTTACCTTAACTTACTGCATTCATAATTTATTTCTTAACTTCCTTTGGCTAACACTGTAAGTCTGTGTGATAGTACTTATTCTTTCCCTCTTTCATCCTACACTTCAATAGTCATAAATTATTTTGTTTGGGACAAACATCTTCCTACTATATTATTATATTGCTTGTAATTTAAACTAATGTTAGTTTTTTAAGTGTTACCTTTTACGCTATGACTGTATACACCTTGTGAGTATTAAACTATGCAATTCATCAGTTTTAGTAAAAACTATTCACTTTGAAAATAGGTGAGAAGATGTTATTGATGGAAAGTATCCATATCATGAGGCCAAGAATAATGTTGATAATGGAACAATATTTCAATTAACACTGAATGTTTCAAGATATTGCATAACCTTCCGTGTCCATGATCTTTACTGTTCCTTAACTGTGACTTGCTTACAAGGTGTATATTGGCAATGTTGCTATTCAATCAATGGACTTGAGCAGCTAAATGCCTCTTAAATCATATTTAACATACTCAAGCATTTTATTGTTATAGATTTTGTATAACTTACATCTTCTTAGTTACTTAAAATTCATGTAAACACTTTACTTAAGTTATATTGATGTTTTTCTTTTTGAAACGACATAAATACGTCCCCTAAACTCTAATTTATTAATTTTACACAATAATGCTGAGATATGCTTTTGACCCTTATACAACTGAGATGTTTTGTTTTCTTCTATTTTCCTCCTTTCTAATTATATTAAATATTTTAATTTCTAAAGAATGAAATATTTTATGTTTATGAAAATGTTGCAACGAGGTGAAATAGAAATTTCATTACGGTTCTCCTTTGTGCGTATCTTACAGTTCAGTAAACTTAAATTATCATCGTGTAAGTGATGTTTTCATCATAACAATTTTAAGATCAGAAATTTGATGTAAACACTCGATTGAATTCAAATAAACTAGATTTATAAAATAGAAGCAGGATAAAGTGGAGGAAAAAACATTGCCGAACTTGGTACTTTTTGTCTACAGAATTTTATTTTGGACCAAGCCTTATCCTGCTGGAGACGTATTTTACGTGTTTGACTATTAATTCCAAGATAATATTTATATTTAGCTAACTTTGCCATTTGAAATCCCTTAAATAAAATAGAGTAAATTGGTATAGAATTTTATATGACACATTATTAGCATTAACCAAAATCTTAGTAATGTAACATATATCATTTGTGTTTAGTAACATGCATGAAATATTATAATGATTGGTACACCGCGTATTAGAAGTAAATATATGTTATTGTGTTTCAATTATCACTTGTTCTCCCACATAAATATGACAATAATATTTTAATTTAATCTTAATCACATTAACGTTGCATATAACAGTCGATGTGCCCATGTTGTGCTGTTAGTAAAGTGTCGAGGCAGCACACTTTTAAATGTAACTGCCACAATTTTGGGAGAATTCATATACAGATCAGTCAGTTAATATCCGACAACAAGTGTTCATAAGGACACTGCTTCAAATTCAGAAAACTATGTTTCCCCATGCCTTAACGGTTTGGGTTTGTTTAATAATTATCTACCTTACATTTCATATCTGTTGGTCAAGGATGTTTTCTCCGTAACGTAAATTCAAACATTAACTACACCAAAATCTAAAACATTTTGCAATCGTGTACAAAGAGGGGGGGGGGTCAATGTAAGTATGAATGGGAGTAAACTTATTTTCCAAGATATTTAACTATGATTTTATTAAATCCAAATTTGTATTTGATAGCACATTCTGATGTATTTTGTGTACAGTACTGTATAAGTGGTGTGTGTATGTGTATGTGTGTTGTAGTCCCATCATCTGGTTCACCAACTACGACCGGCTGGAGTACCTGGACGGCTCCCTAGTCACCGTGTGCCTCACGCCCGCACTCACCGTCTGGCCCACCGTCTTCTTCCTCATGATCATCTCTCTGTTCTTCCTATTGCCGCTCGTGGTCCTGGTCGTCCTCTACGCGGTCATCGCTCGCCACCTCATGGCCGACCCCCAGACATGCTCCACCTCCGACACTTGTAACAAGCGAGCTCGCCGACAAGTCGTCATGATGCTCGGCACCGTTGTGCTCTCATTCTTCCTCTGCTTACTTCCCTTCCGCATCCTCACACTCTGTATAGTCATCCTCCCCGACACCATCGTCAACCTCGGGATGGAGAGGTACTACATTTTTCTATATTTCTCGCGGATCATGCAGTACACCAACTCCGCCGTCAACCCCATCCTCTACAACCTCATGTCGTCCAAGTTCCGCCATGGGTTCCGGGCGTTGTGCGGGTGTCGTCGCCGCGGTAGACGAGAGCTACTTCTCCGACACGCCATGACCCTGACTACCACGTTGTCACACTCCTCCACACGTACCCATCACTACCGCGCCTCCCCGGACCTCTCCTGGAGATCCTCGTCCATAGACTCCTCCACCCGCACCATCACCACCACCAACGGTTCCTTCCGCAAGAACGTCATCCTCAGATCCTCCCTCCTCTCCAAAAGAGGCTCGGACCTCCAAGCCAAGTTGGACAACAATGTGCCAGAGAGTTTCGTGTAAACTGTAGTCTACTAAACTCTCGTTTTATCTTCCTCCTCCTCGCCTCGCTCTAAGGCATAGTTAGCGTAGAATGTGATAGTTAAATGACATTCCTTTTTTGTACATAGGATCCTCATGTGTGTTATGTCAACTTCGTGTGATTTCATCTTGCCTCCCTTAAACCTTCCTCCGACCAAACAGTGTATATGCCGCTAAGGATAACTTAAATCATGCCTGTACAAATTGATGTTCATTTGTTAATGTCTTATCTATGTATGTTATGGGAAATTATATACTAACTACCTTTGAATTTTCTTACCGTGCTTATCATCTTACATCTTTAAAGTTATTTAACTTTTTCTCAAACCATTAAACATTTAATTTGTTTTTTCCAAACGAACAAATATGTTCTAAATGCACTACCCAGTAAAGCCTGCAATGTGAATATTTATAATTCAACATTTCTGACTTAATCCATGATTTGCTAAGATTCACGAAATTCTTTAAATCGAAATGTGTGACATTTTCGATTTGAGTCAAATCAGATAAATCAAATACTTCTATAATCGTGCACCTATCCTTTGTTTAAATTGTTAAATCGCTACACTATATGATGTGCTATATCCCTGATCCTCTTGATCTCTGCGGTTTTTTCTGACTGCAGATGCAACTAACTATTAATTACAGGTGTATTCCACGCCTAAATGAAGGTAGAGACATTTAAAAGAAACTCTTTGCTAAGCTTCCTAACTGAATTTGTATTCTAGTTTTAAATTGGTTGTATGGATACATACATAATGTGTTTGTGAGTTTTTCTACTGTCTATTGTTAAAAAACCCTGTTTCTAGAGTTATATTCTATGTCTGTAAATTATGATTAATATCTATTTTATGAAGATATTTTGATAACAAGACTGTGTAGAGTTGTAAGTTAGCTAATTTATCGTAGGGACTATTAATTAATGCTTGTATATTTGATATTGAACTTTGCTTCCGAAGGAAAACGATGTACGTTGAAGACAATAACATAAGTCACATAATTAATTGCTAATAGTACAGATTTGGCTTAAATCTGGCGAAACGTGTGATATTTAACTCCAGCAGACTTTACTTGCACACAGCATACATGTGCTTCCATCGATTATGTACTTATTTGTCCAAAGAAAATCGTTCATTTCAAATGTGCGAGTTTTGGAAAATGAAAAATATTAATCAAGTTTTAAGTTGGTACACTTTATAACTTTGCAGCCCGAGCTTCCAGCTTCAGTCTTTCCCAGGCATTTTCTGTAGCTTTAGCAATCCATTCAACTATAAATGTCCTGATATAACCTCATGATGATATTATACTGCTGTTTTATCCTCTCTTAAACTATCAATCCTTGTTAAAAACGCGTTTTACAGCGTGGATATTTCAACAGAATGATTGCTCTTGCCATAAATTTCTAGTAAAATTGTTGCCCGATGCGTTAGTTGGTCGTTGTTGAAACATAAATATATCCTTAAAAAACTATTGGCAATTTATGACAACTTATTGTTTGTGTTAAGTAATAATCGCTGGAGATTTTATGTCAGAACAAAACTCCTCATATTCCTCAATAGTCTTCTTGCATTACCAACTACTGTAGTTTGTCTGGTTGTTGAAATAAGTATCTTTAATTTTCGAACATTATACATTTGTGCAATAGGTGTGCAAATCCATTGATAATACCATATTCAAGGTGAGCAATTATCAAAATATAATCCATATTTCATTACCTTTAATTCTGATTGTCTGTACTAAGGTAATATTTTATACATGTTACATAAATGCTAATAGTAAGAATTGTGAAACAAGAATGTTTACTTAATCAAAGCATAAATAGCTAAGAGTAATCAATAAGTATTTACAAATCAAATACTATGTAAAATGTGTATAAGATGACTTTAAACAGTATTTTAAGTCATTAATTATCTTTTCAAGTATTTCATTTGTAAATTAGATCCAACTTTGCCAGACACGTAAGCTGGCACACAAAAGTGGGTTTTTATTTTATCCTTACTATTTAAATAAAATTATACGTTTGCCCAGTTATGATAGATAGTTATGGATAAGAAAGAGTGTTAACTAAAAACACTTGTTTTCTGAAAAAAGGAGCAAAAGTATTAAAATATTATAAACAAATATTCAATATCAAATACCTATAAAATATTTTACATTTTAAATCAACATACTAAAACCTTACACAATTAGTTTTTAGGTCCTTAAACTAATAATTACTGTTAATATAGAATTCAATACAAAGGAGATGTATGTATGTGTGATTTCTGTGAAACATGTAACATAATAAACCAATTTTTTCATAAATCAATCATAGAGCCCGGGAATAAGTGTTGATAATTATCACACACAAAAACAAAACCATACATGTTTTATAAATATATTTTTTCATACGAAGTTTGTGTTAGTTATGGCAGTGTAAAATTATGGTACAAACTTATTAAATTAACTTAGTAGGTTTTAATTTTTAGTGTACGTGAGTACCTTTTGTACTGACTATGATTAACAGAATAGCGAACAAATGATACAACTATAGCTTTAGGACTACAGATTATGGAACGCAGATGTATTGCAGTTTCTAAATAGGACCATGTAGAAAGTTTGGTATACAAACCTCAGTTAGTCAGGGATTTTAAACTAAAACAGAATTGATTATGTTTCTTATCATTGTAATGTATATATGATACTTTTCTGACATAAGATACAGTTTTTTTTAGCTGCTGTTCCTGGTAAGGTTCGATGGAAACGGCAAGTTTTGCACCATATGGTGCCTCTTATTAAGTTGACAGCCAGTACTAATAATTTTGTATTATGCAGAAATTAAACTAGATGTAAATGAAAATGTATAGGGAGGGTGACTTTGATGTACTAATTTAAACGTTGTATTGATGTATTAGTAGTTTATTAAAACCAAAGAAAATATTGAGATAATTTATAAAGATGTGTTGTAGATAGAGGTAATATAAATTAATATATTGAACAATGTAATTTTAAAAATAAAACTAGTCTATTTTATCAACGTATTTCAGTACATACCCTTTCTGTAGCAAACTTTACATTTTTACACCGAAACTTAAAAACCTTTGTGGATCTTAATAATCCACCTAAGTAATTGATCACCATAAGAAAGCTTTATGTTTTTCCTAAGAAAGTTAATACTAAAAATATACATCCGATCAGGGCTGGAGCTACTATACAAAACAAGATTAGCAGTATTTTATAACAGTGCTATAACTGTTCTTTTTCACAGAGTTTAAACTATCCACCTCCATTCTATTTTTGTGGTGTTAAACGAAACACATATTATTTTTAATGTTGGTTTTATTTTAGATGGTTTTGTGTAAAACTTATTCGTATTACAAATCTACTTTTCTTTTTCCTAATGATCATTTGATTAAGTAATTTATTTATAGAATTATTAGTTATTATTAGTTAGGACTTGAATCAAATTCATATGCTTAGGCAACGGCTTAAAACTGAATTGAATTCGGCAACATTGCATTGGGAATTTCATTGGACCACTTTCTTTGGGTAATTTAATTACCTCTTTAGGTGATAGGAGATAATGTACACCTAAAATATCAGCTTTGATGACTGTATTTTACACAAAGAAAGTAAAGTCTCATTGGAGAGAACATCTTTAACATTATTGTATCAGGAATATAAGTTTATGTATATTTGCGAAAGGGTTATTTAGAAAAGGTAAGTTTGGTGATATTGTTCAGCTTAAATATTGCGTAATAAGCACTTAAGTGAGTGATATTCCATGCAATACAAAAAAAAGCTTTTTCCTAATATTGATTGGATAAATAAATACGAAACGAGACTATATAGTACGTTTTAAAGGATTACAGGTTACCAATCATTTAGTAGAGTCTGCCTCAATTTTTTTTTTTTAGAGATTTGAAAAGAGTTGTTATAAAAATATTATTTCAAATGCAGGTCAAATACAGAACATACAAAAAATTATAACTGTCCATAAGTTTGACTAGTGGCCAATAGACTCTCTCATTGGTATTTTCTACTAAACCATGGTTTGTTTGCAGCCCTATCCTAGCAGTGGCGGAGTACAGCTATGCCGAGTACTTTGATGGTTCTATGGTGCCCGTGTGTCTCACTCAGGCTGATACGTTCTGGGCAGCTTTCTTCTTCTTGTCCACCATCTCCTTGTTCTTCGGCCTTCCTCTCGCCATCCTCATCATCCTCTACTCCGTGATCGCCTGTCACCTGATGGCCAACCCAGGTATTGTCGCCCCCTCGGCTCACAGCGCACTCCGCTATCGCCGTCAGGTCGTCATGATGCTGGGGACCGTAGTAGTCTCCTTCTTCCTCTGTCTTCTTCCCTTCCGCGCCTTCACTCTCTGGATCATCCTGGAGCCACCGGAGGTCGTGTCTTCCCTCGGAGTCGACAAGTACTACAACATTCTCTACTTTTCCAGGATCATGTTGTATCTAAACTCAGCTGTAAATCCCATCCTGTATAACCTCATGTCGTCCAAGTTCCGAGACGGGTTCCGGAGACTCCTCGGTTTCAAGCCGATCAAGCGGGATCCGCTGAACAGGAAGGGGACGATCACGACGACCACCACGACCACGGTGACCAACAGCTCTCAGAAGAAGATGTCTGCAGACGCGCGGTCGCTGAAGCGCAGTGTGGTCAGAGTGCTGAGCCGAGAAGATCGTAAACGGTCCATCGACCTTGGATTCACGACCAAGATAAAGAGGCTAGGACAGACCAAGGGTTACATCAAGTCCGATGAGAGCTTTGTGTAGGTAAGGTTTGTGACTGGCGAGTGTTTTTCATTTCTTATGAGGAATGATGATGTAGATATTGTATATCGAATAGATTAAGAATATACCATAAACATAATAAACTTATTGTTGCTGAATTTCCGCTTGAAATAGGCCGAAACAAATCAATACATACATATCTCATTATTTTTCAACTAGACAATTTGCTATCTCTAAATACAAATTTTACTACTAAGATGTAGTTTTTGTATTTCTTAATATATAAACTGTATTAAGTGTTCGTATGAAAATATTTTAATTGTTTATTTTTCTGAATAATAATATTTGTATGAAAATATTTGTAAAGCGCCATTGCTCTTCCAAAACTTAAGCGGAAAATACAAATTGTAAGTAGAACAAACAAAACCAGATAACATTTACTCCTTTAAATACTAAAGGTTAAAGGTTCGTAGGGTTGTATAAAACGTGGGGTAGTAGTAGTATAAAATTAGTTGGAGCACGTTTTACTTGCTATTGGCATATACTCGTATTTTCAATGGCACTGATAGCTTTTATACCTACTCTATTACCTATGCTCCATCCATAGATTTGAGAGGCCCGAAAAATAGTTATGGTATAAACGTGTCTTTTTAACATTAGAGAGCGTGCAATAATTTGTTATACTTGAAACTTCGTTATTGTGCGTAAGTACAGAACTTAATCACAACTTTTATTTGAATTATTTACCTTGTTTTTTAGCCATTATTCTTGACAGAATTCTCTGCCTTTTCTCCACTACATTTCGCCACGGTGTGTGGCATATTCCGGTAGAATTGTATAATGTTCTACAACAATTTTATAGTTCTTGCCTAGGCTTACATTACTGGTTCTGCGTGACGACCCAATCCTTTATTGTACACAGACACGATTTACCATTTATACTAGATTGTCCCTCTTACTCGCGTTTCTCCTTATGCCTCTTATTTTTATTAAAGGTGATTTTTACAAATATATATAACGATAGGGTTTTTACAAAAATTTTCTGATGGACTTTATTGATATATATATAAAATTGATACATATTTTTATAAACGGTTTAGTCTATTTCAAGCAAACCTTGTATACCCTATCTGCTTTAAGAGTTATTTGTGAGTCTTAAAAAAGCTCAAATGGCATATTGTATTATGGCTTATTATAATCTTACATGTTATTGTTGTTAGTTCTGTAGTGTTAATATGTTTGTATCAAATTAATGAATCCAACGAAAGAAAGGACAGTGTGTGAACGATATCATGTTTTTAACAACAGGCTAATTTAACTGTTGATTGTGTATACATGAGTTTAAGAAATGTTCAGAGTTTGTTACCCTCATTTAAACTGTATAACGTTCAACCAAATATACAGTATATATAGATAAATGTCAATGTTTTGTTTGGTTGAACAAAGTGCATATAATAAGCAACGTTGTAGGGTTTTTTCGTGTTATGCAGGTATCCTGTTATGTTCACGTATAGTATACCTACTAAAAGACCATTTTAATACACATTTGTTCAAAGTGAAAATAGTAATGTATAAATTTGCAAATAATAATATTTTCAAATCATAGAACCTTATTATTTTATATAAATGGTAATTCTATCAAAATAAAGAACTAAAAAACGAGTGAGCAAATTAAAATGGCTATATCTCACAATGAGGTTAACTAGAGCATTTTCAATCGTAACATTTTCTTGTCACCCACCTCTCAAATCTTTCTGCTCAAAATTCAAGGATTAATCTGTGGGGCATCCAACCTTCCTAAATAATCTTTGGTAACTAAATTAGATATTCTTTTGTAATTAAAACAACAAATTAACTTTTAATTATAAAAACTATCTTTAATTTATGATTAACTATACAATGCATATAAATATAAAAGAATTAATTCTGTTTAGTATAACCCGCGTAAAGCCTACAAAATACTAATAATAATTTCCACAGGTTAATATGACTGTTGATGAAAATGTAAAAAATCTATAATCATTGCTTTGTAGCAACCACTTCCCAATTGTTTACGACGCTTTTAGAGTGAGTATTTTGCTATTATAAATAAAAAAGGTACCATAAAATATAATATTTTATATCATATAGAGACCAAGATTAATACAATACTAACTCTGATAAATAAGCAACTATAATCATGAATTACTTTGGATCTAACATTCATCGAAATAATACAAAACCGTCCAATTCATTCATTTAACATGCCTACAATATAGTTTTACTTCATGTAAACCTGCAACAAAAACATTTTATTTTTTATTAATCTAATAAATTACTTATAAACGACAATAAATTAGCTTTAAGTGTGTAAATTCTTGATGAGTATGAATAACCTCATTTTGAGATTTAATTGTGGACAAAATTTGATTTTGTGGAGATTTGCTAAAGAACTTAATCTTCTTTGGTTGAATGCATGTTATATATTCTTTTTATACATGTTTTGGGATTGTTAGCTTAGGGACTACAGTATTATATGTATATTCGTATTCTTGTAATGTCTTGTAAATACATCATACAGGGTGTTTGTGAATCACTGCCTCAATGTGATATCTTGTGTTTAAGTAGTTTAGGAAATACACTTTACTTGTTTCTCACATCTTTGTACGCACTAAACTATGTTTTAGTTAGTTTATATATTCTGGCCTCTGTTAAAATGTCCATGCTTATTATTTGTCAGAACTTATCAAACAGGAGTCATAATTTCTGATTTAGTGGATTTAGTGTTTTTTAATATTTGTAAGCCTCAAATGTCACAAAAGTTGTTGTGGTATGTTTGTATAATGCTGCACTATACAGGGTGTCACAAAAAAGTGTGATGGGCTATACAGGACCTAATTCTACATGCAAAAATAAGTCAAAAATGAAGAATAAATTTTGTTGGATTTCGGCTTAGTTTAGCCGTAATCCACCATTTTGTTTTTTGGGGAAAATATTTATTATTTCAAAATCCCTTTGAGATATTTTTACGAAACTTGGCAAAATTTTTTACACTATAGTAAGTAACATTTTATAAAAAAAATTATTATTTTAACTTTCCAAATTTCAAAATGGTGGCCGTTTGAATTTTTTAATGCCAAATTTCATGAAAACCGGTACCTAAATCAAAATTTTGTAAGAGACAAAAGTTTTAGTATTTATTATGACAAATCCAACAAAACAAAAATGAATAAAATCGGCTCATAAATAAAGAAGCTGTGTTTATTTTAGTAATTTAGACTGAAATTACTTAATACGTTACATAAATTATTACATTACATTTAATACATTTTAATATTAATAATTTCAGTCTAAATTACTAAAATAAACACAGCTTCTTTATTTATGAGCCGATTTTATTCATTTTTGTTTTGTTGGATTTGTCATAATAAATACTAAAACTTTTGTCTCTTACAAAATTTTGATTTAGGTACCGGTTTTCATGAAATTTGGCATTAAAAAATTCAAACGGCCGCCATTTTGAAATTTGGAAAGTTAAAATAATAATTTTTTTTATAAATGTTACTTACTAAAGTGTAAACAATTTTGCCAAGTTTCGTAAAAATATCTCAAAGGGATTTAGAAATAATAAATATTTTCCCCAAAAAACAAAATGGCGGATTACGGCTAAACTAAGCCGAAATCCAAAAAAATTTATTCTTCATTTTTGACTTATTTTTGCATGTAGAATTAGGTCCTGTATAGCCCATCACACTTTTTTGTGACACCCTGTATTTGAGAGTCAACGCATACTGAGCAAGAAATCATACAGCTTACGAATCGATTCCAAGAATTTTGACTTTTCTTCTGATGATTGGCATTTATTCCAATAATCTTGAATCACTTTAATAGTTTACTTACAATGGAACCTATAAATCATTAACCATAGTTAATAATTTATAGATTCTCATTCTTATCTATCAGACAAAGAACAACTATTCTCACCTTTTAGAAGCTTTCTACATAGATAATTGCAACATATTAACATGATTTGTATTTTTCCTCTATATTTTATAGTTCGACAGCAAGACGTTGCAACTTTATTATTATTTCTTGATAGATTCTATGTACATATTATTATATACCAAAGTAAATAGTTTTGCTCATATTAATGTTACCAAATGTTATGCGACATTTCTGTTTTTACAACAGAATTGTAAACGTACGAACGTGTTTTTGTCTACAATACTTCCAAATGTTTAGAAAAATGTTCTCGTCGCTGGAATGTAGTACCTACCTGTACAATTTGCTCAGAGAGGTTAATATGCAATGGTTTTTGTTAATTATGAATGACAGATGTTATATTTATATAATTAAATGTTTTCTGTGCTGTTTGTAAATAAAATTTTATCATTGTGAGCACTCATCGTCTTAAAAGTATTTTCCTCCTTCTTAACGGCAATGTTTGTCTCCATTGCAGTAGGAACGTCACAACATCAACGTCTGGTAACGTGATCACTACGTTGAGATTCTCCATGAAATACTAACATGAAAAACAATCTAACTTATTGCATTATTACGTTGTAGTAGTTTAGGCAACGATCGCGTAAAGATAGTTTTAACTAAACTAGTAGAAATTTAACGTACGAGCCTTTGCGAGTGTCTTAAACACTTCTACGACTGTTGTTAAAGACTATTTACGCGAGCTGCGTACTACTACTTTACCTGCGACAGTGTTTTAATTACAAAAAATCACTACTCATAACTTCTAAGAGAGGCTATGTTTTCGTTTATAATGTTGCGGGCTTACAGGTTCTTTACAATAAAAACTTGGTGGTTTTGTAAACGGTATTTAATATTAATATTCTTTCACTAATATTATTTCAAACAGTAATTACAATAACCTATCTAAACCTAGCCAATGTCGAGATTATTCTAATTTACAATGCTTCTACTTACAGCTAACCTTTACAGGACTTATTACTACTTCTGCCACAACACTGTCACTAGTGTCACTACATACACTGTCACTGTCACTGTCACTGGTCACTCACACCGGCGCGCGGTCGCTGCACTGATCTCTG